ATATATATATATATATACACACACACACACACACATTTGACAGATTCATTTAACCAGCTGTGTGCTTTCATTCACGAATAAATTCTCAATTAATTAACATTTATATTCATTTAATTAATATTTATCTTCATTTATATATTTCAATGTTATTAATTGTAATTATAAATTAATCAGAATTTCACATTTAATAATGCATTTCATTATTAACATTCATGCATGCTAATTAGTATCAAATTTAACTTAATTGAAAAGTAAATAAATGATTTAACATTCATTGTCTCACGTATATATTCTATAGTGTTAATTTTAAATTAATTAATATTCATACATATTCAAATATTACTTTTACAACACTTATAAAGTATTTCATAATTGCACGTTCAACATTGACTAGTGGGATTAAAATAGGGAAAATTATTCTTTTTAAGAAAATGTTTTGATTAAAAAGTGAAAAAAAATGTGAATACTATGCCTCTATTTGGTAGGAATTAAAATCTAGATTTTAATTTAAGTTAAAGTCAACAATTAATTTTAATAATATATTTCATAGAAACCACAACTTTTCAATAATATATTTTATCAACTTTTATCAAATTTTACCAAATAACTTATTTTAATATTTACCAAACATGAGCTATATTATATATGGTTAAAATGATTGAGAAAAAAAATACTTTTATCGAACTCTTCAACAAGCCTTAATTAAGGAATTATTTTAATATCTACTCTTGATGTGGGTGTTCCTTTTGTTTACTCCAGGAAAAACATTGAGCCCATGTTTGGTGTAAATTAAAATTAAATTAAAATTTCAAGTCAACGTCTACAATTTATTTCAATCATATATTTTATAGTATCCACAACTTTTTAACTATACATTTCATTGACTTTTGTAAAAAATTACTAAAATTCTGATTTTAATTTACGTCAAATAGGGGATGAGCCTTCAGGTAATGGACTCAATCGGAGTCATTGATGGATCATAATTTTAGACTAGTATACCTCTTTTCGCGTTGAGATTCCATAAGATCTAGAAACCATTTAGAACGGAAAAGCTCCTAATAAATTATAATGAAGAAGATGAAGAGTGATGGTAAGGAAGTTTGCACCGGAGGGATTAGAGGTGTAAGCGGAGCAATGATGAAAGTTTCATTTTAGGTAAAGATCTATTATCGTATAGACATACTAGTACCTTAGCTCCTAAATTTTCTCTATGAAGTCCTTTTACTCCTATTATTATTAATCCTAAATGAGTCTGTTAAAGATTTTTATTAACAATTTCTTTATAGGATTCTTTTTCTATTAAATCTAATTATATAAATTGATCTTCATGTGTACAAGAAACATATATTTAACAATAATGTTGATATATTAAAGATTTGATAAACATATTCCCTTTTTTATATATATCTAAAACTTTTATTAATTTTAATTTATTTTGTCTAAATGTCTCTATTTGCTCTTCTATATTTATTAGGGATTCTAATCTTGTTTCAGATTCCGTTTTTCTACTTAATATTCTTAATAAAGGATGACCAACTAATCTACTACTACTAGCGACAATTTAATTTCCTTTATCCATTACGTATAAATCCACTTAGTCTTCTTAAACCTACTAGGTTCTTTAATTTTACTTAAATCTAATTTTTCTAGTTTATTTATTATATTATCTAAATCTTGTCTAATATCTATTGACTTCTCTTTTTCTAGTACTTTTAACTCTAATTTCTAATTTAATTTCTCTAAATTAGAACTAGTATCTACTTCTTCTATATGACTAGATTTTCCTTTTACTATTTCAGTGTTTTAGTTTTTAATATATTCTAAATTACTTTCCAAAGTCTTTATATTTTTATTTATATTTTCTAATAAAGTTTCTACTTTTTTATTTTAAATTTTTTTTTTTAGTTTTCTCCTAAATTTATGAGTAAATCTACAATACTATTTAACTGTTTATCTTCAAAATGTAAAAGATATTTAAATTTTTTATCGAAACTACAAATTAAGGAAGTTGTGTCTAAAATATCATTTCTTTTAAAATTTCCTAGAATTTCTAGATTTAAGTAATCTATTCTTTTCATAAAGTAATTACTTTGGACTGAAATTAGCTCTGATACCAATCTAGCAATAATTTTATTTTCTCTTATAATATTTATAACTTTTTGTCTTCCCTTACAATCTTTAAGATCTTTTATCAAGAAACTCTAACACTTGGATATTGAAAGCTCAATGATTTGTTTCTTGATCTGTAAAGATGAGTCACCTCTATTTCTATCTACGAATAATATGTGGCTTTCTATAATAACTAATCTACCGATTTCTCGATTTTCTAGATAGATATTAATACATTCTTTAAAACTTTCTAAAGAACAATAAATCAAAGTATGGTCGTCTAATGGCAAAAAATATGGAGAATTAAAAACAATATGTTTTTAATAGCCTTAGAGTACTTTACCATTCAGCAAATTAATTTCTTCAAATACTTTTTTTTAACTCTCTCTCAACTTTTTTCTTGATCTTCTCAAAAGGTTTAAGATTGTAACCAAAAAAGATTTTCATCATGTTTAAAAGGCTTTAAGAAACTTACATAATAAGTAAAATAACCAACTTAACTCAGAGGATTACTTCATCTTTTTCGCCATAGAATCCAGAATAAAAAGGCTAAGAGTGTTAGTGTCATATATGAAAATAGAATACAGCTTTTGAATAAATTGATTGCTTACTTGGTGTTTCCTCTTTTAGACCTTGCCCGAAAAATAAATGAAGTAAACAGAAATCATAAGCAAGAGAAAGTATGAAAATGACTTACTTTGATTTCTAAAATCTTTGAATCTACAAGGATTGAATTTGAATTTTTTAGAGCAAATGTTATAGTGTGCTATGTTGCTATTTTTATCAGTGTCTTCTTTTTATAAGTGGTGTCGGCATTTATAGACGCTGGTACATCATGTATATTATTTCTATATTATACAACTTTACAGGTGCATGATTTACAATTGAAGAAAAAGTAATTGGTACTGTATAACTTTGCAGGTGTATGACATATTTTTAAGGAATTAAACGTTTCTTTACAGCTGTGAGAATCTTTTTGAAATTTTTGTCTTCTTGGCTCCAACTTTTTGACTTTCTTGGCTTGATAATTGTCATTTAAACACTATTCATCTATCTTTTGCTTTTTCTTTACGTCTTTTCTTCTTTAATTGTCTATCTATCCATCATCTATATGTAGGCTTCTTCTAGGTCTGCATCCGTTTCATTAGTTTGGTCATCTAATATGTATTCTTCTTCTTCTTCTTCTTCTTCTTATTGTTGTCTTTCTATTGATTCATAGTTTGCTTCTTAGAAGGTCATAGATATAGCTCATTTTGTTTAATATTTGGTGCTGGAATTTTCTCTGTTTTAACTTTTAAAGCAATATACTCTTGACAGAAAATAACTCCATGGTTCCATTGAGCTACCAGTTTGGAATTATTGTTTAAACTTCCATTATTGCCACAGTCTTCGAGATTCATCTTTCGTAGTCATCTGTCTAATTTTTATTTTTGTATTGGTCTTATAAGAAGGTCGAAATCTTTTGACTCCTTTGTATATTAAAATATAGTAATAAGCTGGAATTATTATATCATTATTTACAAGAGGTGTTCTAGAAATGAATTGAATCATCAAATGGTGATCATTTAACTGACTAAGAATATATTTAAGTTTAGATGGAAAAAATTTGAAGGATTTATTTAGAATGTATACGGTGTCTATCATACCAAATTTTAATGCTGGATAAAAAATGTCTCCTTCTTCAAAAATTGTATAGTCGAAAGAGATTGTAGGATAATTGTGTTTAAGAAAGGCTGACTTAGTGGCTAATTCATATTTAGGGTCATGTTTAAGAAAGTATCGATTTTTCGTTGTGATAATAGTTTAGAATTTGAGAGAAATCAATAATTTCTTATACTATTGACTCCTTTATAGCACTTCGGACAATACTGGCACAGTCGTCAATTTTCTGTTCTAATTTATATAAAGTCTTTTCCTGCCCTGCAGTTATAGAATCTGTTAATTCAATAAGTCTTTCTATTTTATTAGAATAATTTCTACTTGAAGATGCAATATCTTTAGAGATAGATGTTTCACCAACATCTTTAGAACTTGATCTTTTTAAACTATCATATAATTGGAAAATCTCATGTTGATATTTACTAATAGTCTGTTGAGATGAATAGATTTCGTCTTCAAGAATTTGTAATCTTTTTTCCAATGACTGCTTTCTAAGATTTAAATTTCTAATAAACTTGGCCATTGTTTCACAACTATCACAAAGTTGTATTGAGGATGAGGATGAGGATGACGCTTGAGAAGTAACAGGTTGCATATGTTTAACCCTTTCAGATATATACAAGTTAAAACTTATCATTTCTCTACAGAAA